ACCCTGACAGTCGGGAGCCCAAAGAGTCTCAAAAACAGTAGCCTTGCATGTGTGGACGCGGCTGTAGAAGCAGAAGTTGGTGAGGGAAAAAAGGGGGAATGGCTAAGGGACATGCCAGCCATTCATCAAAGTAAGAAATACACTAAGAATACCCAAGAAATTATTTAAAAAAATATATATTATTAATAATATTATCAATATCAATAGTTATATATTTTAATATAAATAATAACACAAATCTAAAAGCTTGTTTAAAATATTTTAGAGGCTTAAAACCCTCTTTTTACGAATTCAAGCTATATACTTTCAGGCTTTCAACTTTATCAATCAAAAACCAAATTAAAACCTAAAGTATTTTTTAAATATTTCTTTAATAATTATTAAAAATTAATTTATTAATTTATTAATACAGAAATTTCAACCGGAAGTGACAAGTTTACATTTCTACTTCCTCTTTAACCACTTAGCTGAACTAATAAGCTGCACAATTGCCAGTTGTTTGGCATTTTGCAGTTGCATCGTTTTAATGACAAAACAGTGTTGGGGGGTGGGGGGAGTGGGTAAGAACCCCCATGGAAAGCCGCCCGGAAAAACCGAAACGAAACGGAACGGCCGGCGGCAAAGTGTCAGCGTATCCTTGTCCGTCCTGCTCGCTTTTCTGACACTTGCCAGACGAAAAACTGGAAATTGGAGTAGGTTTGCGTGTCAGGCACAGTGGCAAGGAGCAAGAAGCAGGAACAGGAGCAAGAGCAGGAGCAGGAGCAAGAGCTGGAGCAGCCAAAACAAGGAGAAGAAGCAACGGAGAAACCCCTCTTGGCCAGCTGGAAGGACCGACAGACAGACGTCACAAGGTGAACTTTTTATAGTTGGTATAAAAAAATACCTTTAATAAATATTTAAACAAATATATAATATAAAATAAATTTTAAAATATAAATAAAAAACACTATAAAATATATAAACAAACCATTTAAATGAATGAAAATAAACATCATAAGTGAACAGCTTAAATTTATTTTATTCCCTCTATTAAATAAACTCAAGTGTATATCACTTATCCCAGGGTATTCCCCGCTTCGTTGCCTTTCACTCTTTTTGATTTTACCCCTCTTCTGTTTAGTTTTTTATTCAATTTTCAAAACTCTTTTGTTCGACTTTAGCTGAGCTGCTTTTCGACAGCTTCAAATCAAACATCGTCGCTTTGGCTGTCATTGCGTGGCACGCACACCCATCCGCAGGGTATAAGCTTCTCTGTAGTCCCACAACCCCTTCTGTGGCCAGTGTTGGACCCTCCCCTCCACCACCCCTCCCCCCAAGTGACTCACTCACATGTGGATAATTGTGGAACTCGTAATTGTCTCAGGTTTTGGATCGAAAATTGAGTCATTAGACGGCGACGACGACGACGACGCTCATGGAGGCAATCAGGCAAACAACAACAAACAGTTGCAAAACAATAATAAACAATAACAAATGGGAGTTGTACACAGAAAAAAAAATATAAAATATTAATTATTATTTTAAGGAGTCTTTAAAGAAGCATTGAAGAAACCGTTTGCCTTTTCTTCAAGTTTAACTATTTTTCATAGCTTAAATTAGTGATTTTTGATGCCCAATAAAAGTTTGAAATTTAAACTTAATATTAAGATTTAAGATATGTTTAATCTAATAAGTATATATTTTTTGTGTACTCACATTTGTCTAGGTCCGTCCTGTGGTTGATCAATCTCCTTGTTTTCCCTGTGATCTCAAAGCCTCTCCGGTGATATCTGCTCGTTTTCTGTATCTCTCTCAAATATCAAATAAACCCGTAGTACTAAACTATAAAAGAGAGTAAGGGTACACTGTAACACAACAAGTAGCAGCTTCTTAAGGAGAGAGTAAGCACTACCACATTAGCACACCACCTCGACCACTCGACTTCAACATTCATCTGGGTTATCACTCAGAAAATGCTAGAACTAGTTGGGAATTATAGTGTTAAGCAAGTGGAAATATTTAAGATGATTTATTTATTTATTATTTCCTTAAATATTCCTTTATTTAATGATTGCTTATATTAAATAATGATTACATAAACATATATATAATTAGATATATAATATATATACATGATCTAGGTATTATTATGATTTTTTTTCTTTAACTGCAATACTTGCCACTAAGTGGGATCTCTTCCAGCTCGAGATCTTGTTCAAAGCTGAGGCCAATTTTGCGGTTTCGCTTGGGACTTCATGGGTCTCTATATATGTGTGTGTGTCTTATAAATGATATATCCCCCTGGTTATCCCCCCTATCTCTCTTTCTTTCTCTGACAATGATGATGATGATTCCAGCGCGTGTCTAAGCCAAAAGCCCAGAAGCATTTATCACAACTGCAACGACAGTTACAGTTGCTGGCCAAAACTACAATTACGGTTCGTACAATCCGAAATGCTGGATGCTGGACAGCAGCAGCAGCGGCAACGTGAGTGATGATGAATGGATGCCAGCGGACGGAAGGGGACTGATGAGCTGGCATCCCCCCCCCCAATGGCCACGCCCACATAGCTCAACCTTAACGTTCTAAATGCCATTTAATGTTAACAAATTCATTTTTGGCGACAAACGGAAACGGAAACGGAAACAACGCAAAAAGCAAACTCTCACACTGAGACTGAGAGTAAAAGCGGAAATCTAATTTTAAATATATATATATTTTATATAATTTTGATCAACATCATTTATATATCTTGTGAAAACTAGTTTATATAATTTTTAAAATTTTAAAAACTATTTCTTTATTATGCCAGCCACTGTGCACATATTCTGGCTGTTCATGTCCATCACTCACCGTCCAGTGTCCACCGGCTGACCCCTTTGACCTCCAGCCCTGCAACTACATCCTTGAAACCCCCCCATTTGGTCGGCTGCCAACTGATAAACGAACGTCACACGTCAGGACTTTCGGGCAGGACCAGGACCAGGACCAAACAGAGAAACTCGTCCTGGCTCGACGCTTTTGTGGATTGATGGCCCTGGACAGATTGAACGCCACACTCGCACACTCGTACACACACACAGGGCGGCTACTGATGGACATTTAATATGCGTTTTAGACAAGCTGTGTGTGCGTGTGTGTCCGCATCCGTGTGTGAAGTGCAACACATCACAAGGCAACGCTCAGCTGCCCCCAGTGGCTACAGTGGGCACAAGAGGCATATAAACGAGGATAAACACGAGGTACAGTGGGGTTTGAGCAGCAGGAAATTATTACAGAAATCCTGAAATAATATTTAATCATTTTTTAATAGGATTTAATATAAATAATACAAGTTAAAAACATAAATAATAATATTTAAAAAAATAATACAAATTCCAAAATAATAATTAATATAAATCAAAGTTATAATTATAAATAAGATGCATCATGCTCTTAAAAGAGGACCGGGATGCAGCTATAAAAGTTAGTTTACCGTAAGGCGTTACGCATCTTATTTGCTATATTAATTAAGCTGCTATAAAAGCTTAGGTCTGCTATAAATATGTATAAATGATTATCTAGGCGGTGCAAAAATCCTAAATTAATAGTTAACATTATTTTATATAATTTAATATAATTAAATAAAAGTTTAAATTATAAATTAAATGCATAATGCTCTTAAAACAAAGCCTGGAGAGAGCCCTAGAAGTTTTTTAATCGTCTGCGTTACGCATCTTATTTGTTATATTAACTTTGCTGCTATAAAAGCTTGTTGAGCTGGCTTAGGTTTGCTATAAATATATATAAATAGTTATAGATATATAAAAAATATTTAAAAAATATATAAAATATATATATGTAATCTCCCATGCCACAACCCACCTCCATTTACCATCCCTCCGTCCCCACTGTGACCGTTGCCTGTGCGTGTATGCGTGCTCACCCATGTCTATGTCCATGTCCATTTCCATGTCCGAGTGCGTGCCCCGTTTTGCAACGCCTGCAGATGTGGATATATGGATGTATGTGGCCATGGCTATGGCTGTGGCTATGGCCACATCGGAGGGGGTTCTCTCGAAATTCGTCATGGCTGTTGTTGTTGTTGCTGCTGCTGCGCTGGATGTTGCTGTTGCATGCTGCTCGTGCGGCATTGTTTTGCATTAAATGCTATCTACGTTGCCGTGTCCAGGACTCCATCCTGGCGCCCCACTCCACCACCCCATCACCTTCACATTGTTGGCAGTCCTGTTTTTGGTCGTAGGTGTGAATGCGCGCACATGTGTCGAACAAAAGGCACTGACTTCCCAGCACACACAACACCGCACCGCACGCCACCCCTCGTGTCTCGACATTAATAATGTGTTGTCCCGATATTAGCCACGCATATTAACTTGGCCGAGTGTGTGTGTTTGGCCGAGGAGCGATTAAAGACGCTGCCCGCACAGATGAGCTCACCCGGCTAATGGCCGTGCGGGATTACGCTTAAAACCCGAGCTGTTAAAGCGATAACTTCGATGGGAAGTATGGCAGGAAAGGTGAATATATATATATCGATTTTTAGAGGATCGATTTTTTGTAAAGAACATTTATGGAAAGAAATCGATTTTTCAAAAGATCGTTTTTTTGCAAGAACATTTTGAGAAATGTATCGATTTTCAGAGGATCGATTTTTTTAAAGAACATTTTTATAAATAAATCGATTTTCAGTGGATCAATGTTTACCAAAAAACATTTTTATAAATATATCGATTTTCAGTGGAATTTATACTTGGGAATTTGAGGAGCTTTTCCTGCAATGAACAAGCATAAATGCTTGGAGTTTACTCTTAGGCCTCTTAATGTTTCATCACGAAACCTTTGTATATTTTTTTAAATTATATTTTTTATTTGCAATACTTACTACTTTACAATATCCGATTTTTAAGAATTTACCATAAAATCTAAAACAAAAAAACCAAGACTTTACGTTAACCCAAATGCAAGACACAGTTTTGTATAATTTTTTTTTTATTTTATATATATTTTTTTTCTCATCAAATGTTTCTTTCATTTCCATTTTTGTTTGTTGCTCTTCATCATCGTCTGGTTCATGTTGCATTTTTTTGTTTTTATATATTTTAGGTTTTTGTTAACAATTTGTTTTTATTTATTATTGATTTTCCCGCCTCTCCTCTCCTCACCACTCTTGCCTTCTCTCGTTTGCTAACTTTTGCGAATACCTTGCCCATTCTTTATTTTTATTTATTATTATAATTCACTTTTGTTTATGCTCTTTGCACATTTTATTATATTGTTTTTGTTTATCGCTTGATGAATATAGGGATTTAGTTGTCTGTGTGTTGTTTTTTGGGGCTTCTTCATTTAGTTGTTGTTAATAAACTTACGCATTATGCTAACACTAAATACTTTTTACAATAATTAATAATAATAATAATAATCCATAATAATAATATCAATTAAAAACGCAAAATTGTTAGCTTGGGGGATTTTCTTGTATTTTTTGCTTTTATTCTCCTTGTTTTTTAATGTTTTCTTTTTTTATTTTTTGTTTCTTTATCTCTCATATCGCTTGCTATATCATTATAATTGGAAATTCATATAGTTATGCCCATATACATATACATATCGCTAGTGTATATGTCGAATTGTGTTTAGGTGTCATCCTTTTCTAGGTTTACATTTAGTTTCTTCTCCTCGAGCATCCCGTTCTCCTTCTCCTCCGCCTCCGCCTCCTCCTCACTTCATTTGTTTATAATAAATTACGTTCGCTTACTCGCTAAGACCACAAAAAAAAAAAAAAAAAATAGTTTAGTTTAGTTTGCTATGTGTTTTTTTCGGTTTTTTTAGGTTTCCCCGCTTAGTTTTCTCTTTACTGTTCTGTTTTTTATATTTCCGTGTACGTGTGTGTGCCGTTTTTTATAGCTGCTTGTATATATATATTTATGTATATATCTGGTATTTATATAGACTTAGAATCTAGGTGAAACTACACAAGTACATGCCTAGTTACGTTTATGTTGTTAGACAACGATTATATAATATATATATTTATATCCATATTTTATAATAATATAAAAAAGGTGTCGTTAAAAAAAATGCAGGCAAAAAATAGAAAACAATTTTAGAGTTACGAATAAAATGTGCTAATGTACAAAAAAAAAAAAATATATATATATATAATCTTTATGGAGATTTTTTTGTGGCTACAGATTTTTAGTTTTTTTTTTTTAAGTTTTTTGCTTTTTTTTTAGTAGTATTTATACACTGATACACATAAATAGTTTTTTGTTTTGTTTATAAATTACAGACAAGACGTTTAGTGGTTTAATTCTTTTAGTGTTTTCTTTTTTTTTACTTTTGTGTAAGAGTTGTTTTTTCATTTGTTTTTTTTTTTTTTATTAAAAAAAAATTGTTTACTATGTGCAGCGCCCATTCATATGCTTTTTAGCGTTTTTAGTGTTTTTTTTTACATTTAGAGAGCTTTTCTTTGTCTATTTTGTGTTTTTCCTTTAGGTATTTTATAATTTACAAATATTTTGGCGCCGAATTTGAAATACAAAAAAAAAAATAGCACAGTTATTATAATAATAATAAAGTATAACAAAAACAAAACGCAGCAGCAGCAGCTGAGCGGCTGAGAGAGCAGCGCCAGCCAAACGACTCCAAGTATCCCCCATCTCTCTTTCGGTCTCTCTCTCTTTTGGGGCCTCTCTCGCCGGCGCTTCTTGTGACTCTGTCTCGCTCTCAGCTGCTCTCCAGTTGGCCGAGTCGGCAAACAGAGCGAGACGGCCATAGTGGTTGCGGCCTTCGTGGGGGCGGGTTTTTTCTTCCTTCACCGCCGCCGCCGCTCTCTCTACTCCTCGCTCACTCGCAGCAGCCCTCTCAGCCGCGTTGCCAACTGTTTCGTATATTACCAAACGAGCCCTTCATTTTGCATATTCTGCGGTTCGCTGAAATTCGCCGAACTCATGAACTCCGGCGAATTGGTTCGGGGGCCATTTTGTTGTTGCTGCTGCTGCTGCTGTTGTTGTTGCTGCTGTTGCTGTTGCGTTTGATTCGCCGCTTGTTGCGCATTCTGCTGCTGCTGCTGCGCCGCCGCCTGTTGCTGCGCCGCTGCGGCAGCGGCCATAAGATGCTCGGCACTCGGCGGTGGCGGAGGCGGCGGCGGTCCAACTCCAACACCAACGCCAACGCCGACGGCGGACTGCAGTTGCATTGGCGGAGCACCCGCCTGGCCCAGGAACGTCGATTCGGGCGTCAGTCCGAATTCGTTAACCATCGGAATGGGGCCGCTGTGGTCCATGGGGCCGCCTAGGGGTTAAACCAAGATCGAGGGGGAAAAAAGAAGAAAATTGATCAATTAGTTTTGGGAATATAACAGTTTTATAAAAAGTGTTATAATTTTTTGATTTTCGATCATTTATGTTATTTTTTGTATTTCTTCTATTATTAAGCTATTATTTCATTATATTATTTCTCTTTTAGTTTCTCACCTGGCGCATTGAATGGCATGGGTCCTCCAGGATGTCCGGGAAAGTAGGGACCATCGTGCGGGTGAAAGGGTCCACCGTAACCGAACTCAAACTTGGCATCCGCCGCAAAATAGGGGAAACCGGGTCCATCGTCCAGGCCGCCGGGTGATAAGTTCATGGGGAAGCCACGCATTTTGCGGGCGCCACCAAAGAAAGGAGGACGACCCATACTGGTGATTTGCTTCATGCGTCGCTCCTTCGATCGTTTGTTTTGGAACCACACCTGGAAAATAAGGAGAAGAATTTAGCATTAATATAACATTATTAACAGATATTTTTTCTATTAATTAAAATAAATTAAATTGTACGTCAAGTTAAAGGTATTTTGAATTCTTCCCCAAAAGAAACACTGCTTTTAAGTAGAGTTCAAGCAATTCTTAAATCCCTTTTTTTTGTTATTGAAACAAATTGGCAAACATTTCGATAAGGAGAATCTTGGTGGTTGTGTCTTCTGGTGCACCACCGGGTTTATGGAGGCGCATGTCTAATTGCTGTGGCTTCGGTGCTTTTGCAGATTCTTCAGAGATTCTGCGGCTGCTGGCTCTCTGCGGTGCTTGGTGCTTTTTTGCATTGATGCTACCGCCGCCGCACCGGGCGGCCGTCGCAAAATTAGCTCCATTTCCCCTCCCCCAACCCATCCAAACCGAAGACAGAAGACTCAAGACAGAAGACGCGTCTACGCAGAGACTGGCTATGCCATTTTTACGACTGTGGGTTTTTGGGCTCTTCGGTTCGGTACGGTTCGCGCTTGTGTGCTTGTGCTTTTTCAGTCGATTTTTTTTTGGTTTACGTTCCGGGTGCTCCAGAAGCACCGTGCCCAGCATGCAAAGTTATAAAATAAAAACATATTTCAAAAGTTTTAGTGGCACCTCTTCACCGCCGGCCGACCTGATGCGATCCTTTGTCTCTCCTTTAGCCGTTCCCATCCTTTTTATTATTATTTTTTTGGCCTGGCCTGGGCTCCCTTTTAATATTCATATCTGGGACGCGCTCTTTTAATGATCTGCTGCAACTTTTTTTTTGATTTTCTTCTGGATTTTATATATTTTTCTCAATGAAATTTTTTGATTTATGTCTTTGCGCGCTCCGCTTGTTTTTTGGAAGTTTCAAGCTTGGGTTGGGTGTTTTTTTTTATTTTTGAGTTTTTTTTTTGGCAAATAGTTTCCAATGAATTGGGCTTAGATTTCTGCTGCAGCTGTTGTTGGCCAATTTAAGCGTGAATTTTAATGATGAGCGCCGCCGTTCTGCAGTTCATTTGAATTTATGAACTCTCCTCTGGGATCTTGGGGCCTAGACATGCATATGAGCCTGGTTGGCATGGGGGCCCTTCACATTTATAAACTGACACATTTGGCGGCGCAGCGAATTTCGCTAGAAAAGCCGGTCTCCTCGTATTTTTTTTTTTTTTCGGGGCCTGAGAAACACAGCAGAAATGAAGAGAAGACTTGGCTTCTTTTCTTATTTTCATCTTGTATTTATTTTTATTTTTATTTTCATTTTCATTTTGTTTCTGGTTGTCGGCACACAGGATGCACACAAAAGGAAGTAACATGCTGTGCATAGTTGGATCCCAAACATATAGCATATATATATCCACCGTACCGAATCATCCGAGATTCCCATTCACGTTGCCATCTCACCATCTTAAATTGTCTGTGGAGCGTGTGACTTTATGACAGCCATTGGGGGGGGGGATCCCCTCTTTCGTTCTTCCCATTTCTTCTGGCAGAAGAATCTGCAGAAATCTAATGGGGAAGTCATGCAGATCAGTGAGTAGCAAAATTATCCTAATCACGCTCGGTTACATCTGATATGTGAGTGGTATTCTGCTTGAATTCGTTGATTTGTTAGGTAAGTTGAGCAGAAAAGGTGCCTAAATAATTGTAAACTGTACTACAGGGTGATATATCGATATATTATATCGAAAATGTTGTATAATTAAATGTATCGAAATTTTAAACATACAAAAATGTGTCAGTGAAGGCTTTAAATATAGATATTAAAAACAAAAATTTAGAAATAGTCTAAAATATATTATTCGATATATTAATTCGATTATCGATCTATTGCTTTCTATATCATATCGAAAATATCGTAAAGTTAGCATGTTTAGAACAATTTAAACAACGGAAAATATTTAAATGTATTTTGGAATAGCTATTTAGATGGAAATTGCTCCGATTAAACATAAATACAGATTTATCGCATCTAAAAACATATTGAAAATATCGAAAAATATAAAATTTAACGCTTAAATATTAATATTATCACGGAATCAGGCAAGTTTGTATTAATTACTAAAGCGTCCAAGCGCAGGAGGTTTTTGAGAAGAAAATTGTTTCGATAAATTAAACAAAAAATAAATTTATGGCATATTTATGGCAATGTTATCAATAAATTGATATTTTCATCTTTATATCCTAGACTTATGGAACAGATTTCAAATAAAAAATCATCTTAGACCAAAGATATGCCACAAATTTAACCCAAAAGTAACCTTTATTTTCTATGCCCCAACTTGAGTATGCCAGAAATCCACACAGGGCCATATGGTAATGCCTGTGATAATGTCGTAAACGTGGCAAAACTCAATTCAGCAGCCAGAAAATATAAAAAAGAAAAATACAAAAGCGAAAAATGGGAAGCCAACCAACCAACAAAGGATCCCTAGAATCCACACACAGATCCGCGTTTCAATTACCCGTAGTATGTAGCAACGTGTAATAAATAAACAGGACGGAGAGGGGGGAACCCCCAAAAAGGAGCTCTACTACTAGAACTATCCCCCTCCCCCCTGCTACACGCAGCAACCCCTGGGGGCATAGAATCCACTCTCCTCGTGTGGCGACGGCAGTTGGCAATATTTTTCCATATCCCATATATACGATACGATATTTGCCTCTGTGGGCCCTGCGGTCACATAATTTTTCATTTTCATATCCGCAGCAAACAAAAGAAACAACAATAGTGGGGGGAAGGGGTACGTACTACCTGGTAGTAGTGGGTAGCAAAAGGTAAACTAAAATATGCATTTACAATAGTTTTGCATTTTATTTTTCTCTCTCTTTTTTTGTTGTGCCGAGTTTAGTTGGGGTTTTCCTACACCCTCCCCCCCACCCCATTTCCATTTTCCTTGTGCGGCACATTTTTGCATTGTTTTGTTACGTCCACAAAGAAAAACAGCAACAAATGGCAAATGGCAAATGGAGTGCAACAAAAAGTGCACCTACAACATGGCAAAAGTAAAGAAAGGCGAACAAAAAAATATAGTAGAAATAAACAAAAAATGGCAATTGCTTCGCACACTGAGAGAAAAACTAACTAATCGAGGCCAAAATTAGAAAGTAAGAAGTATATAGAAATATGTCCACTGTATTTTATGATATTATTTACTTTGGCTTTTAATTTTAAACAATTGTAAGCTTTTCATAAATAAAAATAATATATATAAAATTATATTATATTTATAGTGTTTTTGTTAGCCAAGAGTCCGAAGAACTTACCAAATTCTTATTATATTTAAAATATTTCATAAAAATTTGTAATTTCATTTCATTTAAAATGTATTAAATATGCTTTACTTGCAATTTTTATATTAATTTCAATAGTAATAATAATAAGAAATATTTTTTTATGAAAGAAACAGCGTAAATATATGATGAAGATCACCTGGAAGTATCAGCTGGTTTTCTTAATATTTTATAACAATTTTAATATAATTTAATTTCAAATTTAAAATTTGTTACCTTAATTTATATATTTTTATTAATAAAAAATATTTTTTTTGAAAGAAACAGCTTAAATGTATAAGAAATACCTCAGATTACTGATAAAACTTGTAAGAGAACCCAAAATAATTCCTTGTAACATTTATCAGAATTTTTAAAAATCAAGAAACCCCTCATAAAACCATTTTTATATAATTAAAATTCCTTACCTCTAAAATTTAACTAATTAACCTATGTCTTAATATTTTTTAAACCACCCTTTAGGTTTTTTTAGTTTACCCTAAACTTTTTGTGCAGCTGCAAAACTCTATTTAGCGAGAATCCGCAATCAAAATTCCCGTTTTCGTTTATCCACAGAAAAAAATGTTAACAAAAACTTTTGTTAGCTCGTGTTATTTTTTTTTCCTCGTTTTGGCAATAAATGTGGGAAAAATATTTTCCTTTGCCATTGATTTTGTTAGCATATTTTTCAGTAGTAGTATATTTCTTTTGAAGCCGCAGGCTAGGGTATGGTTTTGTGTGTATTTTAATTTTAGTTCTGCAACTCCACACGCTTTATTTACCCAAAAAAATGTGTAGTATATATGCAGTTTTCAACGCGGTTTTAATATATATATATGTATATATATCTCAAATATATAGTATCAAAATCGCATTATGTACGGTTCTGGTCGTAACATCTTCTTTTCGCTTGTTGGGACCTGAAGAACCTTGTTCTTTTGTGGCAAATTGTTGGCAATTTGGGTTTAAAATGTGCGGCTAATATTTTATTTCCGCACCAAAATTTGTTTCCAATTTTGAAGGAGAGCTTTCAACAAATTTCCGACCTGACCAAACTCAACCGTTAAATATCCAGGTGAGAGGCGAGGTGGCCAGGCCAAGTTGAACACGCGGCCAGGCTACATTTGAACATTTAGTTAAATTATAGGTTAGACTCTGACATAAAAGGGCAAACAACGTAGCATAATGGCCCATGGTAGTAGCAATCACAAGGGGTCGGACCCCGAGATCGCTGGATAGGGAGGGAGGGGGAGGGAGAAAGAAGTTGGGGAGAGGAGAGCGAGAGAGAGAGGCAGGACCAGGAGGCAGTCGTCGAATCCCTCACATAACAAAATGATTATTGCAGTGAATGGAGCTGCAGGCACTGAGAGAAAAAATTATAGCTGTTTTTTTAAAGCATTTTTAAATTTACTTTGAGATTATTTATTATTTGTTGTTTATTATTAATTAATTAATTTAATTATTTATTTTTCTTGTTTATTATTTATTAAATATATTATTACAATAAATAATTCTGTTTCTTTTCTCACAGTGCACAACAGGGAGCTGGTGGCCAGACTGAGAGGGTTAAACTGAGGTGTGCGCTCTCCACTCTCCGCTCTTCTTCGCTCTCCTCCTGCCTTCTTATCCCTCTTCCCCCCCCCCTGTCCCTACCATTCTGCATTGTGTTGGAAATTATAGCAAATTATGTTAAACGGCAGCGCGTTGGCCTCCC